TTCAACATCACTTGTCATTCGAGAGATGCAGATGAAAACAACACTGAGATGCCACCTCACCCCAGAAAGAATGGCTGCTATCATGAAATCAACCAATAATAAATGCTGGCTAGGGTGTGGGGAGAAAGGAACCCTTCATTGTTGGAGGGGTGCAGACTGGTGCAACCACTGTCAAAGTCAATATGGAGATACCTCAAACAACTAGGATTGGAAATCCCATTTGACCCAGCTATTCCTCTACTGGGTATCTTCCCAAAAGAATTAAACTCCCATTTCTTAATGCAACTGATGTACTAAATAAGAAACTGTAGAGTGGTGCTGAAGAACACTAATTCAGGGCTGGGAATATAGCTCCGTGGTAGAATGCTTGTTTGGTTGTTTGCCTAGCATGCACAAGGCCCTGGGTTCAGTATGTAGCACCATACACACACACACACACACGCGCGCGCATTTAAAAGCTCAGTAAGAACTAACTTCATCAAATTGCTGAAAAATAAAATAATACTTGTTAAGCCTGGTATGTAAAAAGCATGCAATAAATGTTAGTGACTATTATTCAAGGACCTAGAACTATATTATAAATAACCCTTTTCTTAGGCCCAAAGCTTATTCTAATACATTTCATTCACTGCCTTATTTTCTCACTGGACAAACTGAGTGGGACACATCTTAATTAAGGGGAAGATGGATATGTGTTAGAATTTTGAAACTTTTTCTTTTTTTAAAAAAAGGTGTCTTAAAATGAGCTGCTATAATAAAATATCTTAGACTGAGGCATTTATAAAACACTCAGAACTTAACTCTTCTTGAGGCTAACTAGTCCAAGATGCAGATGCCAGCCTGTTCGATATATAATGAAGGCCTATTTCTTTTGCACGGCACTTGCTTACACCATGCTCACATAGTAAAAGGGAGTAAAGGAGCTACCTTCAACCTCTTTTATGAGAACACATCCCACTCGTGAGTGTTCTTAATCACTTTTCCAAAAACCTCATTTCTTTTGTGCATGTGTGGTACTGGAGCTTAAACCCAGGACCTCATGCATGGTAAGCCCTTGCTGTACTACTGAAGTACACCCCAACACAACATACCACCTCTTTCTGTGTGTGTGTGTGTGTGTGTGTGTGTGTGTGTGTGTGGTGCTGGAGTTGAAACCCAGGGCATGGCACATACTAGGCAAGCCCTTTACCACTTTCTTAGTTACATCCCCAGGCCCTCATCTCTTATTAATACTGCCACATCAGGTATTAGGTTCCAACATAAGAATTTTGGAGAGATACTAACATTCAGACTTCAGACAGAAAAAACAAAAAAATAATAATATGAACATTTTAGCTACGGTATGGTATGTACATTTCTGAAAATGTTCACTTTTCTTAAATGGTTCAATTAACAACCTAAAGAAAAAACAGGTCTGGGAATGACCCACTCAAAACCTGAACAACTGAGCAATAGTTAATCAAACTTTGCTGCTTATTTTTATCACCTGGGAATCTTTAAAAACTACTGTTGATGCCTGATTTCCCCACACAGACATTCTGAATAAAATAGTAGAAGGAGAGAAACTCAGCATCAAGATTCTGAAACATCCCTAGGTGACTGATATATAGTAAAGTTTAGGGACCGCTGAACTGTAGCATTACCAGAGATGATAAT